AAAAATACGCTTTTACAAAGCCAAGATCAAGAGAAACGTGAATTTAAAATAATTCCAATGGAATAAAACCAAGAACAATCCCTTTCCTGTTTGCAACCCAGTCATCACACTAGTAAAGCATGAGTGAAAGGAGCTATAAACTGCCTATAAATCAAAGTAAAACTGATTCATCTCTCATCATTGGCCAAGCTCAGAAAAATGCAAAAAGGAAACAGTCAATAGATTTAATTTTTTTTTTTTTTCAGTTTTAGATTATCCCAAGGTATGGGTTATAGCAGGTAAAGAAACTTAAAAAAAACAACAACCATATGGTACAATCTCCATTAGCCAAATATTGTGAGAGATGCTCAATTTCAGATAACTGAAGTTTTGGGGAAAATAATCAAGGGGTTTTTCAATACAATTAATAGATGAAGGGGGATATGACCCTGTTCTGAACAACTGGGAGTTTCAGATAATCAAACTTAAATGTCCCTTTAGTTGAAGACCTTACTCTGTATCCTTATCCCAGTTGTTTCCATAGTCACTTATAATACCCAGGAGAGAAAGCCTGTGGAGTTAATACTAATACCTTGTGTAGAACGTGTGGTGTGGCTTAACTAGCAACTGGAAGAAACAAGAAAAAACGGGCTGAAATGTAAACAGACTTTTTAAAAGTTTCAACAGAAAAATTCATTTAATTTTTTTTAATGTTGCAACCTTACACAAAAATTAGTAGCTCCCATTTTCAAATAGAAAGGGGAGTTTAAAAGGCAGATACAGTTTTTTGTATGATTCCTGGGAATTCTTTGGGGATAACATTTTCTTAGTTTCAAGTCAATCACTAAAACAATTCAATATTATTCTGCAAAGGTAACCCAAGTATGGGAGGTCACATTCAAGTACACCAGAATGTAGGAGCACCTTCACATAGACAGACCGGGGGGTGGGGGAGGGGAATGAAATGGCTGCTTGTAATTCAAATGACCTTGGAGTTGCACTGGATTCCATCTCCAAGGATGCCTGCTGAAGCCAAGGGACAGCACAGTAATCACAATCGTCTGAAAAGCAACAGAAATTTGGTGCAAAAATGTAGGAGAATTCATGGGACTAGGCCTGGGTCTGACAGTCACTAGCAACAAACCGCCCAAAAAGGGGAGGTTGTTAAAAGAAAAGAGAGAACATCTGTTGTTTTCAATACGGCATCAGTTGGAGTGCGCAGGGAAAATATTCTCCAATGAAATCACTTTCATCTAGAAAAGAAGGGTCAACAAGCCTCGAACTCAGATATGGTTTCAGTTCATCTTATCACCAAACATTTCCAGCCCAAGTTCTGCATTCCAATAACCAAGAAACGTCACAACCCATTTCCTCCATATTGGTTATACCCCACCAGCTGAGTATGGACTATGATTAGCAACAGGAAGGGGAAAAGACAGCAAGAGAGAGGGCAACCACTACAAGAATTTAGGTTATCGATGCATATTTCATTTAGAAATTATAGCTGTGAAGTTGCAAGCATGGAATGGTGCATAACTTTATCACCACTAACTGAACAGCAGAGACAGATAGTCATTATTTCCACCACATCCCTATTTTTGTTATTGATTTCTTAAGTTTGTTTACAAACTGGATTTTAATAAATGGCTATTCCGATCCAATACGGTTTATTTTAATAAAGCTGGATATTTTCCTAAGCTTAGTTTCTAGTGTGTGTAAACAGGACAAATGTATCTTACTCGTGCATTTAAGTTTCCCTTTTTATTTACTTACTTACTTTTAAGGGTTGAAAAAGCATGTAACAGAGAAGAACACTTGCTTCTGGCTTTGCAACAATCTTGCCTTGTCAGGGATGGATCAGACAACATATTAGGTTGTTTCAACCTCCAATATCTATAATTTGCCCTTTTTAAGAGGAAATTCTGCAGAGGAATTTTCATTAGTAACAGCAGTGTTTTAGCTGAGCAGCTTTCTAGAACTGGCAGCATGCTAGAGAACCATTTGGGAGGCCTGAAAGTAGATATAAATACTTTTATCAGCTGCTACAAATAAGGAAGGAGAACACTTTTCCATAGGCGCTACAAGATTTGGGGTAAGAAGTGCTATTTTTCTTAGTGTGGGTCCAACACTAGCCAAGCGCCAACTAAAAGGCTGGGAAAGTGGCATAGCTGCTTCCTAGAATGGAAGGTGAATATACCAGACTGGTGAGGGAGGAGGCAGAAAACACTACTTGGATAAACTAAAGATTCTGGGGTTTTGCAAGTGGAACCAGTGAACATATAACTGGTGATAAGTACATTCAATTATCTTCAACTAGCAACTTGACCAGCAGGTGTTCTGAGCCACAAAGGAGAGTCTGGAAAACGTTACACTGCCCTGAATGCTGGAGGGGCAAATATGTACACTTTAAAATCTGTACATTTTAAAAGACATGTTTATAACCCAGCAACTGATCTGTGGAAACACTCACCTGCTGTAAGTCTGCAAGTCTCCATTGATTTCAATAGATCTATGTGATTTACAGCAGCTTATGGTATGGTCCTATTTATGGACATTTTCAAGGAGAAGCAACCATCTGAGCCCAAACAATGTTTTTCGTTTGTCACTCATCCAGCATTTGCTCACCTGACCTGTTACAAGACTTAAAAAGCCTTCCTTAAACAAAGGATTCCCAGCCTCATAGTTCTTTCTGGGGGTTTGCTGAAATTCAAAGTACCGTTCACCTGACATTACTGACTGGCTGTAGGGGCACAAACAAACTGTGCTGTACTCTCATCATTGTGCCCTATTTCTTCGTCTGTGCTAATAGTCTCCTCTTAGAATCCTGGCTTTGAGCAAACCGTTACATCAGCTGACTACTGTCAAAAACCCAGACTTAGCCACCTACCAGAAGAATAGGTGCAAAGTTGCTGATTGGCTGACTGCGACTATTAGGCGAATTACAACAGCCGTCACCAGATTTCAGAAATCAATTCAATGCACTAAAATCCAGAGAATCTGTCCACTCACTGCCACCAACGTACAGATAAATTAGAATGGTCAAGCTGTAGATGCATCACTGTCTTCACTGCTGTCTGTTCCTCTAAAGGTGTAACCCTAAACCATGTCCCCCAGGAATTTTCTCCTCTTTTATAAACTGCGAGAAATTTGTTTTCGTGAGGTAAAAACAAACTTGCTCAGCTTTCATATAGAAAGTGGATCTCAGTCACAGGGAATGGGACTGGCAAAGAGAAAGGAAACCTAGAAGAGAAGTAATGTCACCTGTTTGCAGTTAGCCATTACTACTACAACATTTGCCTCCTCCCTAAGATGCTAGAAGAAATTAATCAGCTCTGCTTTGCTCCTTAACACCGGTGATCTGCCATGTGTACAGGGTATGAATGGTCTCATTTGCTGTATCTTGGGGAAATCCGTCCCATTAAAAGTTCCACACTGAGCTTGCTGCTCACTGCACTCTGCTCCGTAACAGCACTGTCAGTTTGGATTTAACAGCAAGATGACAACACTGCACTACATCAGTGGAAGCAGAAAGGACAGACAGATCCCTAGAAAGAAGACACATGCTCCATTATTGCTAGCTTACTTTTCCCATTTCCAAAGCTATGAGGATCTTTAAGTTAAGAAATGTCTTTGGTGTTTAAACAGAAGATAGCAGAAGGGGTTGTATTGTAAAAACGAACAACTGATTAACTGGAGGCTGAAAAGAGGGTGATCCTGTTTCCTCAACCACAATTCATGCCATGCACAGCACCCACTCCCCAACTGCTTCAAGTGTCTCAGAAATCTGTAGGGATACTGGGTCTGCACTGTTGTTTTTTTTAGTACATTATGAAAAGAACATGATTTATCCAACTGCTAAATTAAAACAAATATATATTTAAAAGGAAATTATCTTGACTACTGGCCAGTCCTAACAAATGCAATTGACTCCTGGTCCTTTGTCTAACTATATCATTGGGAGGGCATGTGTTGGGGAGCAAAGGAAAACCTCAAAATCCTGTTTTAAAAACAGGAATTGACAGTTTTCATGTAGAAAATGCAAGGCCTCTGTTCTCTTGGTTTGCATTAGTTTATGAGATTCATTCTCAATACTGTCTATAATCCCCACTGGCCCTCACCCCTGGAATTTAACCTCACTGTCTCAGCTTCACACCATGGGACACCTGCTGAAATCCACTTCCAAGTTTCAATCTGGCGCTGGGTTGTTGACCTTAAGCCATCTGGTCTTCAGGCCAGAGGGTCATACTGCCAGAAAGGACTGACAAAACCACTTTGATGCAGAAGGCTAACCATTTGCCCCTTGGGTTCACAGGAAAGGTGATGGTAGTTTCATTCTAGGATGTTATGAATAAACCATATTGCCCCAGAAGCAGGGGGACATATGAAAAACTAGAAAACCAAATATACACAGAACCTTTCAAAGATGCCCTTTCTCACATGTTCAGTCACTATGATATTTTGCCGTGAATTCAGAAGCGGATGATGAATAACTGTGAGAAATCAGTGTGAGGACAACCCACCCCATTTTGTTTTTTTCTTTAAAAGAAATAGATTAATGCTGCTCGTCCATCTTCTCACGTTCCCTCAAAGGGAATGGACAGAAACCATATTTTGAAGATCCATCTGGTTGAGCCCTGTAGCCCCCCCCTCCCAAATCCCCATATAAACAAACATGGATATAATGATGTTTTGCAGGGGTGGGTTTGTTTAAAAAAAGTCTGCCTTTTCCCCCCAGTTTGGTATCATGTTACTTTAATGCTGTTCCTACGAGAAGCTGCGCCCATCCTTCTAAATCTTCTTGGGTGGCCCTTTTAAATGGTCTTATGTTTTGAAGCTCCGAGAGGCAGAAAAGCAAGGCATCAGAGATGATCAGCCTTCCTCCCAGAGAGCAGATGTGTCTGTGATACATTCCTTTAGATGCTGAACTGTAACTCCCATCCCAAACGGAAGGAGATTTAAAAAAAAAAAAAAAAATCCCAACAATCATACAAAGACACAGACAATCATTTTTTTTTTTTTTTTTTTTTTTAATCTAAAAAGAGGAAAAATATCCCATAAGTAAAGGCAGAACTGAGTTCCAGGTACAGGTAGTTGGGAGGATTTTTTTCATTCTTTTTGGCATCTCGAAATTCTAAGAATTGTTGTTGACCTGCCCTTTAAAATGTAATTTTAAAAAGAGCTCGTAATTCTCTAAATTTCAAGCTGTTGTTACAGTTGTGGTTTTTCTTTTCTTTGAAAAATTGCTTTCGAGGCTCATGCCGCTGCCCCACCTACATTCCTACTATCCTCCCACCGATTCGTCATTCACTGGTTGCCTGTCCTTGCGGCGCTGTGGACGTGATGACTCCAGTTTGAACCTGGACTGCTCCGCTGGACTCTTCCATCCGGGGTTTTTTTACATCTGGCTCACCCGAGGGTGGTGCAGGGTCTTCAGTCGCTGCCTCGCATATCCGGCTGACCACAACGGGAGTGGATGAGCTAGCCTGGGCTGCAAGGAGCTGTAGCGGATTTGTGAGAGCTGGGGAGTGGGAGAGAAAAAAAAGTGTTAATTCAGCCAAAAATCTAAACAACATTTGCAGGTCTAGAAAAGACAGAAGTAAATCACACTGGAGAGCAATCATACTGGAGATATGCAACTATCACCTTCAGATGTGCTTTACAAACATTAACTAACTTTTTCTGAATTTAATTCCTGTGTGAATTTAAGAACATTAATCCTTGCTCTTCCTTCCCTAGCACCTTCCATTGAAAGTTCTCAAAATGCTTTATACATCATTTCATAAATAAACCTGAACACCAATGAGCAAAGGAATTGTCTCCAGCTGGGAAAGCTCCTACTCTTGTGTTTTAACCCCTAACCCATGACTGAAAAATTCTGCATCCATGGCCTATGAGACCAAAGCTCTGTACTTACTGCATGGAGCACCACAATCAAAAGCTTCTCCCAAGCTGCCATACCAGCATGCCTTAAGCCTGACCTGGACGGACCACTGCTAGGGGCGTGTGGGTAGTTTAGTCTCCATGGCCCATTCAAAGCTGGGCGCCTCTACTGAGATTGCCAACAATAAATAAAGCCAACACCCTGTCTACTGGGAACTGGATTACAACCAGAATATTAATGTGGGAGGTAGATGAGTATTATATCCATTTTACAGGTGAGAAACTGAGGCAAAGAGGTTAAATGACTTACCTCAGGCCACAGAGGGAGTCCCTGTCAGAACTGAGATTAGAACCGAGGAGTTCCTGGCTCCCAGCCCTGTTCTCCAAGAACTAGACAAAAACTCTCACAATAGTAAAGAAATGGCAAATAAGGTAACCCTACTTCCAGTTTACAAAGTCTCAAGAGTTCTGTTACTGAGTAGAAATTTCTACAGTTTAAAGTCACAGCAACAGAATATGCTTATACCTTAGCAAAAGTGTAAAATAGCTTCACACTGATAAAGACGGCCAAACCATGAAGGACATCAACATGGTAAGAGTTAACAATACAGGAGTGTCCACTGCTAGCGGCACAAAAAAGGAGCACAGGGGTAAGTAGTAATGGAACCAGAACAATGTCCTTCAGAGTCCAGCAAACTACACCAGGCCATTGCAAAGAATGCCATGCACCAGTAAGGTCAAGAGGATGAGAAAAGAGAAGACGGTCAGGGTTGGATGAGAGAAAACTGCTGACCACTATTCAGAAAAGCCATCTCGGTATTCTAAGAGGAGAAAACCCCAGACTGGGAAACAAATGTTAAAAACCGAGACAGCCTAAGGGAAGAAACTATGTTTTTCAGCTGAGCATAGTGAAGTGCGTCAGAAAGATAGAAGCTCTGCATCCTCTGCAGAGAGAATCTAGCACCACTTAAACCGGAAAGCTGTGGTGTCATCGGAAGGATTCTAATCACATCTGATTACAAAAAAAGAGTAAAACAAATTTTAGTGATTTCAGAGTGCCTTACACATAAATGAAGAATAATTAGCAATCAAATGTCCTACTCTACATCAGTCTCATGCTACTGCAGGATAATATCAGCTCCATTTATTTTTAATGTCTATTCTTATTTAACAGTTTTATACATCTAAGACATTACAACTACTCATTACAGTTTTCCATTACTGGACAAGGTAAAACTAGGTAGAACTCTGATGGGAAAGGTTAAATAACCAAAAAAAAAAAAAAAAAAAAAATCAAAGAAAGTGGTGGGAAGCCTTCATCCAGCAGTGGACTAAAACAAAGAAATAACTCATAGGACAACCCAAAAGGTGCTGTAAGAAAGTCAACACAAATCCAGACAAAGTCTTCCGTTCTGACTGCCCGAAGGGGCAGGTGGAGGTGCTGGGACTCTTCTGATTTCATAAGAAGGGAAGGCAATAACTCAAAGTGCTAGGGTTCTGCCACCACCAGTCATTACCCTTAAAGTGACAATACCTAATGTCCCGAGGAAGCACAAGAATACCCTCCCAAGGGAAACCAGACTGGACTAATTACTAGAAAATATCCTATATGAAATAATCCTGCATTGATGTAGAAAATCCAGTAGGCCCTCTCCATTTCTATGAGACAAAACCATGCACCGTAGTACTGGTTCTTTCCCCAAGACTTTGATGAGTGAGAAGAGACTGGAGGTGAGACATTTAGCTATGGAGAAAAGGATTTTCTGAGAACAGAGTTGGGGATTTAGTGGTGTCCCAAGAGCACCAGGGAAGATTTATTATGCAATATTGAGGGCAAGGGTTGACTGGCAAATGTCCCGGATCCACAGGAGGAACCCTTCAGTGTGCCAGACCTCCAACTGATCCTACTCTTTCCTCACAGTAGGCCACACAGCCTCATTGCCTCCAAGACTGAGCCTCTTCGCAGGCTAATGCACCTCAGCATGTATTTGCAGTGACACCAGGAGGCTTTTCCAAAACAGAGTAGGACTTATTAGTCAACTGGAACAAAGCATTGCAAGTCCCTAGGTTAGCCTAGAGAAAAAGGTTAAGACATAGTCCATCTGGCCAAGCCAGTGCTATCCACCAGCCAAGCTGCTCTGGATTCCATTTCAGGGTCTCTGTCCCTTTGTCAGTGCCAGGTGAGAGCTGTCTGGCCTCTTCCAAAAAACAACTCTTATCCCCCTCCTGTCGCCTCTCAGGCAGAGCCATGCTGAGGTCACATACCCCACCTGCTGGAGCTGCTTGCTGTCAATTGTTGATTGTTCAGTTGCTGGGGTTTCTCATTGTCTCTCTGGATCCTCCATTGAGCTGGGACGGTTTCAATCAGTTTTTTAAATACCCCATTCTCTCCACCAAGACCCAAGGTGTCTCTCACACCCCTCATGTCTCCTGTTCTGCCCCAAGAGCAGGCCTAACCCTTTAGCAATGCCAAGTGCAGAATTCATAAAAAACATTACATAACATTTCTACTTTTTCCACAGCAAGAAAAGCCAAAGTAAGAGAAAATGGGCTCAAGAAAGGCCACATTTATTTGTTGAAAAGATGCTAACCCTAGATGGAACAGAGACTAGAGGAAGATGGGGACGGGACAGACAGATGCATTGCCAAGGACATAAAAAGGGACTGGACTCTGCAGAGGTGATGTTGGAGAAATGGTCTGAAGTAAATGGGATGAAATTCAATAAGGACAAATGCAAAGTACTCCACTTCTGGGCACCACATATCAAGAAAGATGTGGACAAATTGGAGAAAGTCCAGAGAAGAGCAACAAAAATTATTAAAGGTCTAGAAAACATGACCTATGAAGGAAGATTGAAAAAAAATGGGTTTGTTTAGTCTGGAGAAGAGAAGACTGAGGGGCAGACATGATAACAGTTTTCAAGTATATAAAATGTCATTACAAGGAGGAGGGAGAAAAATTGTTCTCCTTAACCTCTAAGGATAAGACAAGAAGCAATGAGCTTAAATTGCAGCAAGGGCAGTTTAGGTTGGACACTAGGAAAAACTTCCTGTCAGGGTAGTTAAACACTGGAATAAATTGCCTAGGGAGGTTATAGAATCTGTTATTGTCTAACCTGCTCTTAAAAATCTTCAAACACCCGTCAGAGATGGTGTAGCTAATACTTAGACTTGTCTTGAGTGCAGGGGACTGGACTGGAAGACCTCTCAAGGTCCCTTCCAGTTCTATGGTTCTATGTTGTTAAAGATGGCAGAGCTTTTTCCCCCACAGAGGCAAATAAGCAGAACTGGAGGTGGAAGAGAAAGAATGGAGCAAGGACTTAGAGCACTAAGGCTGGGGAAGAAAAACTTTGTTATTTAGTGGTGCAAAATGTTGTGCAATACACATCTTGCACACACATTTCAAATTGGATGTATGGGAAAACTCAGATGTCAGGATCTATGTGTAGTATAAGTGTAGAGTTTGCAGTGCATGTGAAACTACATCAGGTGATCGGGCACACAGCCATAAAGGAAAGCCATACCATAAGCACTGCCGGTGATGCTGTTGGTGGGGATGGCATGCTTCCCATTTTGTGTTACTGCCCGAACAGGTAGTTGGTGTTGTCCAATGGTCACTGGAGTTGCCTGCTGAAGGATGGTAACAGTTTGCCCTGGGACACCTTGAGCCATCTGACTGGCAACTGTTTGGATGACTCGACTGGCAGTGGGTATTGTGGCAAACGCAATTGTTGGTTTCTCATCCATGCCTGTTTGGACATTAAACAGAAAGGAGAATCATTCACCATGAGTAGGCTTCATTTTCATTAATATGCTAGCAATAATACAAACCCCAAGATTAGACAAAATGAAAATACCCAAGCACATACAGCCGAAGTATCCAGACACAACCAAATCATTTGCGTTTGATAAATCCCACAAATCAATATCTCATGGGAATGGGAAGCATCATTTCTCAGGTCAATGCAGAGGAGTCTCAGAGTAACACATTTGGGCTCCAAAATAAGAAGGGGTTGAGGACATGGCTGACTGGTATGGGCCTGATCCTGGGAGACGTGAAGTACCCAGAAATCTTTATGCAGGATCCGGCTCTCCAGGGAATGACTGACTCACCTAGCTCATTAGAGAAAGAACACTGCAATCAGCCATATAAGAATGGGGAAGGGTTACTACCTATGAGGAACAAATGGTTATTCTGAAGCATTTCAAGACATCCAGCCATGATTTTTCATCAACTCCACAAGTTTTCTTACCTTACCTAACAGAAAAATATCTACACAACTATTTACCAATGTCAGGTATAGACTTCCTCTAAGGCACAAGCAGGCCAACTAAGAAACAAGGTTATAAACATGCCATTCTGAGGCATAAAAAGGTTCTCCCCATCATTCTTTTCCTTATCTGCATGTTACTACATAACATAACATGGCATGGATACAGTCAGTGAAAACTAGACTATGAGAGTTCCCTGCCTGTACATCAACCACCCTGAGCCTCAGCTAACCACAACAGGGAAGGAACCATAACAGTATCAAACAGCCCCAGTGTTTGTGGAGTTAGGGACAGCTTGCTCTCATGCCTACACTTGGGTGAGATCACAGGGGAGTGGAGAGGATGCAGTTCCCTCCAATTTTAACCTGCCTTCGTGCACAACTTTCAACTAGCTGTGAAGGATAGGGGAAGGAACCAGCAGAAAGGGGGCAGTGCCTGGACTGCTGCTGCTGTTTTAGTGTGGCAGTGTTTAAAACCTTCCTCCTCACTCCCCCACGTTAACTGATCTGCTCAACAGGCAGGGAGAAGCTGCCAGGAAGCCTCTTGCCTCAAGGAGCAACCGTGTCCCTTTACTGGCCAGCCGAAGGCTGCAACTGAGATTTCTCTCTGCAGCTGACTCAGCTCATTGCCTGACCTCTCCAGCCAACTCTGAGAGGAGGAGAAAAGGAGTGATGCCTGCCCAGGCAGGCAGGAAGTGAAGAAGCTGATTCAGTAGGACCACCCCAGCATCCCGCTTCTCTTCCCCATCTTAACATTAGAGAAACAAGGGAGACATGGCAGAACAGGAGAGGAGAGCTCGGGCAGGGTATCAGAACGTTGGAATGAAGAGTGGAGCTGGGGAAGGCAGAGGCTGGGGGGGGGAGGGGGAGAGGGGGGAAAAAAAGGATCTAGGGATGGCAGAGGGTCAGAGAGACAGAAACCTGCTCTACACTAAAAAGTTAGGTCGACCTGGCTACATCTCTCAGGGGTGTGAAAAATCCATACCCCACAGCGACGCAGTTAAGCTGACCTAACCCTCGGTGTAGAGTGTGGTAGGTCGGCAGAAGAATTCTTCTACTAACCTAGCTACCACCTCTTGGAGAGGTGGATTGCCTAGCCAACATGAGAACCCCTCCTGTCGGCGCATGTAGTATCTACACTGCTGAGGCTGTACTACTGTACCGTTACAAGTGTAGGCAAGCCCAGAGATTGCTGCTGGGAAGCCTGGAGAAGCACAGAGGGGATCTGGTCAAAAACTTCAGGGGAGTTTGAAGGTGGTCAAAAGCAAGCCAACACCAAAGCAAATGCTGAGTGTCCCATATTACTATTGGGGAGGGTCTTTATCTCTCCCTCCCCTCCCCATCCCAGCTTGTAAGCAAATAAATCACTCTTCTGCACATAAACACTCAATGAAACTCACTGTTCTTATTGTGCTTGTACAGTAATTGTACATTTGTACAATGATATAATGCAATTATGAGAAGGGCTGCAGAAAAGGAGGTACTGCCCAAGTGAAAGCAGACAGAGAATGATCCTTTTATAGAACATTAGGTATTTTCAGGGTTTAGCTCACTAAGGCCAGAGTTGCCAGTTTAGAAAGATATGAAGTGATCCTTATAATACTTGCTTTTGCAGAATTTTCTAATCACAAACACTATATGCACTTCTACAAAACATTTCCAGAGGCTTACACCTTTCCTCCCTTGGAATAAATTTTACATACCCACAGAAAAAGGACACAGAGTCTCAATTACCATTAATGTCACCTTGAAACAAACAGCCTCAGCCTTCAAAATGGAAAAGCATACCTTGGGATGGTGGGAGTTTTGTTTGGGATAGAGATACCTTTTGGTAATTTACCCAATTGATCAGAATGGGCCTCAGTCCACAAGCATATTGTAGGGGAACACCAGAACTAGAATAAATATTCACAGCCATATATGCAGCTTTGGTCACCAGTAAAATTCTAGCTAGATTTTTACTAACTAAAGGCCACACACGGCTCAATTCTCCTGCTTACTGCTAGGCAGACCTAGTGCGAAAGCTCTTACCCAGTTTAAATTGTATCTTATGACTGACCTCTTTTGTCAAGGGCTAAACACCCAGGGAGTGCAATAGGTGTGCAGAAAAACCCTACAAGTCCGGACAAATCTTCCTTTGTCAAGTAGGGAGGGAAATGAAACAGACTACCTCGATGATCACCAGCCAAATCCAACACTGTTCCTGTTGCTTCATGAGCACCGCCTGCTGGGCCCGGATTTGTCAGTATGTATCCGTTAGCGGAGCTTGAGGAGGAAGTTACAACCCTGACCATTGTAACAGTGGGAGCTTGCTGCACTACATGGATTGCATGACCAGAAGGCTGTTGAGAAGTCACTATTGGCATGTAAGCTACCGGCTTTGCCACTAGAGTGGATGGCCGGGGAGGAACAGCCATGATCACCGGCTGGGCACTGACAGGTGATCCTGAAAGGGAAGAGAGACGCATCTTAGACCACTCATTTTCTTAGACATTTCTAATAATACATAATGCTGAGCAGTGCAGTATTTGCAAAAGAATTAAAGTTATTCAGACAACATTCAATCTTGTATTTCCTAATTTTTGAGTGGCTGGCTGTGCAATTTAAACATTTTGAGTGTCATTTTTGTATGCAATGTGTGTACACACAGTGCAGGGTTTTAAATGGGTTGCACAATCATGGGGTTCATACAGACCTAACATCACCACCCAGCAGTTTCACCTTTCCCAGCATACGAGTGAAAAACTCCACCTCTGCTCAGTGCTTTTTAACTTATCAGGTCACATGGAACTCTGGGTGCAGACAGCAGCCCCAAAGAGCAACCAACCTAAACAGCTGAAGAGGAGAGACGACAGATCCAAATCCCCATTCAGATTGACTCCCTCCACTCCCCATCCCATCGCCATGAAGCTGAAGCTAATAAGAAAAAGAGACAGTCTAAAGCTATATAGCCACTGGAGACTGGGAAAAGGGTAAGTATGGAGAGATGAGGCCTTTATTTGAAATATAGAACACCCTCCCACCACAATGAACATACTCTCCTGCAAAATAGGGGCTACATACCAGGCGCACTTTGTGAATATCGATACTCTGGAACAGAGGCTAACTTTGATGCAAAATCATGTTCATGTGGAATGGGTGAGCCCTCCCTGGACAGGCACTCTGGAGTCTGTAGGCCACTAGAGTGAGGGGACAGCAGGCCGGGATGAGTAGGAGAGGCAGGGGCACTCCTGAAACACAAACCAGTGCAAACAGAGTAAAAAGAATACATGCTGGCCAAGAAAGCAGTAGCAGAGAACCAAAGGCATCTCCAAAATCTACTGCCTCAATAGAAGAGCTTCTATTCTTCCACAGCACTAAGAAACCATTTTTGCGCTGTTTCTACCGTCCTACTTCCTCCAATGAAGCCAGAAGCATGGCATCTTTGCAGCAATGCCACTCTTAGTAGGGCGAAATCTGAATCTAAATGGGCACATTCAAATGGATTTAAAAAAAAAAAAAAAAAAAAGATATGTTTTGGTTGGTTGGTTTTTGTTTTTCAATCCTGTTTTTGACAGTCCCTTTGATTAGTATGTGCTACAATTTAAATAAAACATGAAACGTTTAATATGAGAGTTTTTCTGATCTTCTGTTATGTGGGGGATGAAGCCAAGGCTCCCCTCCCACTATTTCTGTCCTGAGAGAGGAGAAAACAGTGAAACTCCACTAAGTGCTGCCAATGCACAAAGTACACTGCAGAAATGTATTTTTTGCTAATTTTAAGTAACAGGAATCACAGACTTTATTTGCAATTATAGCAGATACAAAGTTTTCATGCAAATGTGATCTTCAAGTTGTCAGTATGACAAAGGTTGGGAATTCTCAAGATTACAAGCACCATTTAAGAGAGTCACTGTTCATAAACCCAGGGACCAACTACAAACACTGCATTTCCCCTCTGACCAGGGAAAGTAACCAGGCTTAAATGAGAACACTGACACTCTGGACTGAGTCATTAGAAAAGTTTAAGAGCACAAAGAACACTGAATCCTCAAGCAATTACCACCACAACACTCCCAAACCCAGCTAGCCAAAGCGACAAAGTTTTGAAGTCACTCCTAGAATCCCCCTTATCAGTACACTGGACTAGCAGCCTAGCATAAATATTTTAGCAGAGAGGTTTATGGATTTCTAATTCCTGGGTCTTTTGAGTTATTTCTAACACTATACTCACTGGGTGTGATGTTTAGCTATAGGATCTCGCGGAATAAATTAACTAGATATCATTGAACTGTGAGGGATCCTGACTTTATTTGCATTCATTTTAACACACTCACACACACACATTATCTACGGGACTCACATTTTCCTTAACATTCAACAAACAATATCCTTCTCTCTTATTTTCACCCACTTTTAGACAAAATTTGGTCCCTGCAAGAGCAAAGGGTACACTGCACTAGCTAGAATCAATTAGTCCACACAGTCTCTGTGCTAAGCTTCTCCTCCACACCCGTACCATTGGCTGAGGCAGTTTCATTTAGTCCCATGCTACATCCCTTCAACTCCATTGCTGAGAATCATGTCAAATGATGTGATGTTCTCTGAAAGAGACTAGTTTAAATACCACATTCCTACGACCTACTCCACATGTGGACCCAGCTCTTCAGAAATGAACGGCAGGGCTTTGCACAGTAAGCCACTTACTCCTGTGAGAACAGTTCTGCATCACTATGAAATGACACCAAAACAGATTTACACAGTTACACAGATTTAGAACAAAAATAAAAAGGGACCTGAACTTACCTGGAGGAGAGGGGCCCAAAAGGGGTTCGAAAACAGGACACCCCTCTCTGTCTCCGTTTTCGGAATGCCTGTTCGACTAGCTTGGCTTCTGAGGCAGGGTCGATTCGCCAAAAGGAGCCCTTTCCGGGCTCCTCCTGGGAGCGTGGAACTTTGATAAAGTAACGGTTCAAGGAGAGGTTGTGCCGAATGGAGTTCTGCAGGAAGCAGAGGAATGAGTTGATTATTATGCAATGTGGAAACACCAAAGACAGACAAACTAGACTTCACAGACCAGAAGAGTAACATCCATCCCCTTCAGAATCTCTGCCACAAACAGTAACAAGCTACTCAGCTACCAAGACTCACAAGGGGAATGGAAGTGATAAGAAAAAAAATCTGGCTACATAAGTTACAAATACAGAATTTCCATTAACTATGGAGGAAGATAGGTTTGCCTGGCACTGTACTGTTACCAGCCCCTTAGAAACAACTCCTCGAACCACTGAGGGCAGTAGCTCTTCCACTGCAAGATATGGAAGTGGGGGCTTTGGAAAAGCATAAACAAAAGAGATGTGTATTGTAAACATCTAGAACACACTTCAAAAATGGCCTTTTTGTTTTCAAGTGGAAAACTGCCAGGCTTGGCTGCACTGCCTACCAGCAAATTGATCACATGTGCGAACATGAACCACTAGAGGCCACGCCACATCACAATAATCATAAAGCAGGCCAGTGAATTTTTTTAGACTGACTAGATATTGGGCGGGACCCATTAGCTGTCTGGCACAGACCTAGCACTGTAGGGTGCTGTAGAGATTACCCATCTATATAAACAACAACTATTTCCCAGGGAACAGTCCTATCACTGACTAGGTTTAGCACCGCTATGTTGCAGGAAAGGCACAGTGAGCCCACAATTGCATAAAATCATTTCTAATTCCTCTTCCTCCCTCCCCCATTTTTGTGCTTCTCTAGCAGCTTTCAAAGACCAACAGATGTGCTTTACAAACAGAGCCTTACAACGCTGCTGGTAGGGAAGGAAGGGACATAGAGAGACCACTTCACCCATCACTGAAATGCAGCAGTCTCTGCAGTACAATGCAGCAGCTGGTTAACAATGCGCGGTAACACTGTGGAGCAGGGTAAGGTGGGAAGTGAAGAATTCCATAACCGATAGGGCAGGGGAAAACTGGGCGGGCAGAATGTACTTATTCTGATTATACTGTCAAGTGCGACCAGCCATGCTGCTCCAGCCAGCTGTGGACAGTGGAATCAGCAGCTGCCCGTGACTCTCCAATACATCAGTGTTGTGTGCCTGGAAGTGACAACACCCAGTTCAGAGGTGTGGCACTGGGAAAGGGCGAGTGTGGCTGAAGCCCTGGCTACTGACACATTAAAAGCAACACTCAAGCAGCTGAATATCCAAGTCTGACATAGCATTATCAGCTATGGACAAATTGTACAGAGAAGCCGGTGAGATTTCCCAATAGTATGCTAAATGCACAGACGTGCGACACAAGGGGTCAGCTTGTGGTTTTCAGACCCTTAGTGCTCCATGATGGTATCTATAGTAGAGTGACCATACTCTGGGAAAGGAAAGCAATAGTCGTAGAGGGTGTGAGGGTTACTGTGATTAAAAGCAGGGAGAGAACAGAATTGTAGACAGCCATGCTGAAGTGGTGCAAAGGGAGAGGTCCATAGAGCATCCTTTTCCTAAATAACTGGACATAGTCAAGATTTTTCAGGAGTCAAGGAAGATTTGAAGAGAGATAGGTATGGGGTGAGAGCAGAGGAGATGAGACTGATGAAGTGGCTGCTGGTAGCAAGGGCATGGAAGGAAATGAAAATGGGGATGACAATCATGTCGGAGATGTCTCTAGAGATGCAGGCGTGGTGGGTGACAAGAGTGGTAAGGAGGGGCATTAGAAAACCAGAGGCCCCTGAGCCATGTGGAATGTTTCCGTAGAATAGCCTTTACAAACACTGCCCACAAACAAAAAGTTTAAGTGAGGTTATTAAACTGATTATTCCCTAAATTGACTGGAACAGCTTCCCACTACCCCAGTGCCCTGATCCCTCACCAAATGTGTTTCCTTTTAGGATAAGCACTTTAATAGGAATTTCAAAATTTGTAGGTGTCAAGAACTCACCTGCCAGCCTTTGTCAGCAGTCCTGTAATATGGATAATGCTTGGTGATGTGGGCATAGATCCCACTTAGTGTTAATTGCCTGTCTTGGGCTGAAGATATGGCCTGCACAATTAATTGAGCATAGGAATATGGTGGTTTGGACTCATCCTAAAAGAGAGGACACAACAGGGGAAGCTTAATTTCAGGAGTAAGGATTCTTACGCTGGAGTTTACACACAACCCAGATACTAAATGCCTTCTAGATATAGCTAAACTTTCTACCAAACAATATTTTCTGTTGGAAAGAAGTTCCAAAGGTTTGCTATGTTTTTTAAATTTTCCACCCAGTTCTGCTTCCAGGCACTAGCACCAAGCATGACTTGGTCCTGCTCCACCATCTCCAGGAGGGACCCCTCCTTTCTAGAATTTGAAGAAATTCACTAGAAAGGTTTATTTCCAGTTCCTCACATTGCTCCATCAGTGCATCTCCACCAAGAACAGCCACCCTGGCTTAGGGGAGAATTCAATCTTCATAGCTATCCAGTATTGTGCTCCCTTGCTAGATCCCAAACCTAGCATTACCAAGAGAGAAACTACAGCTTCAACTTGGGTATCAGGTCACTTCATCAAGACTGAATTCCCTCCTTATGACTTACTTTTTGTTTGTTATGTTTTTAAAAGCGAATCCTCTCTACACTGCTCTCCTCACCTCTTGTCCCTGAACTGCAGGCCTGTGTATTCTGCCTGAGTTAAACTGCAAGCTCTTCAAGGCAGGGACCCTGTCTTTTATTCCCCAGTGTATTTTACATAGTGTTGTGTACATCTGTGGAGCTGTTAATTAAAGAAGAAAAATAAAACTCCTTGGTTTTAATACTCGTCCAATATATAGCTTCTTAGGGGAACACCTGCATGTCAGGCTGCATGGTCCATCAAAAAAGGCAGATTCCTGTAACCTGACCTTTTAAGTGAAGGCAGAAAATAAATTTGGGAAGCTAACCTAGCGGTGATATCCATGAGCCAGTGACTGACACGGAGGGGGATGACCCATTCACCCTCAGGGGTGTTAAGTATCCCAGTGGAAATACGTAACACACATGTACAATGGATAAATTATCTTTAGACTTGTTTAACTACAGTATACTGCCAGGCCTGAAAACCTCCCCAAGCACTGCTGGGCAGATAATGTTTCTCTGAACCTTTGGGCTGTCCCCGCCAGATGCGTCTGCCTGCTGCTCTGATGCTGCTTTCGCTGCGTACTCTGCTGCCAGCTGCAGGTCCGAGGTAATGTTCTGAACAAAGCGATATCCTGAGGATCCAGCACCACGTGGACTGGCCGGGCAGGAGTTGGGAACACTACAGGGGATAGAGAGGAGACAGAGACGTCCATCTCCAGTTATTTATTAACAGCAACAAGTGTACATACAACTCCTACCATCCAAGGATTTCTAGGCAATTGGCAAACAAGAATCTACATCTCTGAGAAGTAGGTAGGTACTGAACTTCTTTCTCCACATGGGTTAACCCAAAACTTAGAGAGGTTGAATGACTTGCCCAAGATCATGAAATAAGTCAGTTGCAGAAGTCCTGACTTGACTTCCAGAAGTTCTGACTTCCTTTCACCTGCTGTAGTCACTAGACAACACACAATTTCAGAGCATGAAGCAGGATCACTCCTCTGTGAAGCCAGCATGGGACTCCACTGAAAACCAAATATTGTATCAGAGTTTGTCTGTCTGGAGTAAATAAGTTACACAAGTAATTAAAAGCCTTACTCTTCAATCATAAATCTGGCCAATACCATTCTCTGTCTAAGATATAGATGTTGATCGCTTAACTTCTCTACTTAAAAAGACTACTTATTTTTTACAGTATCACTGTTAAAACCATAATGACAGATGCAACACTGGGTGCAGCAGCACTGGGCTTTAGAGGGCTGTTCAACAACACAAAGGTTAATGTCAAGTAGCTAAAACCACAGCAACCTCTAAAGGCCACTTATCTCCTTAACCTACCAGCATACAAACCCTACTGACAACCAATGGGAGTTGCAGATACAGGTAGAGTGCCCTTCATATCAATGTTTTTGCAGATTGGTTAGAGGAAAGAAAAATAACTAAGAGTTCTAGGACTGCCACAAGATGGCACTTTAGGAACAGTTATGAAATAAGGAAAGCCACACCAAGACTGGTATAAGGTTACAAATAAACAACGAAGGTGGGTCTAGTCTGCAGCACCACTCAGACACACGAGTACATACGGCAGGATGACAATTAATTAGCAAAACTAGTCGGGGGGGGGTCACACATTCTTGATTTGTGGGAACAAGACTGCTTGGCAGGTGAGATGGCGAGTCTGAAGCATCATTCATGTGTTGTCCCTTCTCTCTCCAGGGCTGAGCAGCACAGTGAAATAGACCACAGTCCAATCACAGGATTACCTACTTCTTTCCCATTAAAGTACAGTCAGGATGAACAATAAGAAAGAGGAATGGTATTTAAATATTTACATATGGAGATAGAGGATTTTTTTTTTATTGTAACTGCATTAGAGGAGAATGGAAAAAGACACCTAGTCCCCTGTAGTGGGCTTAGGTACTGCTGTCACAAATGATTCTCCTCTCAGCAAAATGGCCACCAACAGCAGTAAATTTAAGTGCCAATTATAAAGAACAATTTTCAAATGCAGCTATCAATGTAAACTGAAAACTACTGCTTCTCACTCCTGCTTCCTGAAAATGGCCGTGTTGCTAAACTCAGCATCGGGCTGATTTATTTTAACAATGGATTACAGAAAGTTTCCTTGGGATAGGAAGACAGACAGACAGACAGACAGACTCACAGCATCTCAAAGTTTTCGACAGTACAAGATAACTCAAGGGTGGCCTCTCCTGTCGCATCCACTCTGAATCCTACGCTCAACAGGAACATCACCATTCAGAAGCTCAGGCTGAAGCTTTTAAGGAGCAAGGTGTTTTTGGTGAAGGACCCATGGTTATGAAACTCCTGACCCCAGAGACCAGGATGAGTTCTTGTCTCATCTCTGAGTGCAATTTAAGATGCAACTCTTTGCTCATGCCTTCCCCCAATAAAGGAGGCAACCAAATGGCCCCTGAATAGCTTCTTCCTGGTATGATCCACAGAAAGAAGACTTAATTAAGGGAGACAAGAACGCTCATTCCCAAGCAGCAGTAGTGCTTCTTTTAATTGTTGCATATGGTGATTAGGATTGTGGCAATATGCAGACTAGAAAGAGATTAAGGATTAAGAGTTGTGTTGATATTGCTAACGATTTGTGATCACACCATATCAGTATGCCACAAACAAAACTGTTAAAAACCAAGCCAGAGAAGAAGTGGAGAGGCCAGAGCTCCTCCAATAAATCTGTGCACTTTAAAAAGGGTGCATCTTTTTTGTGCTTTTACTAAGACGTGGTGTAATTTCAAGGCTTGTACACAGAATGCTCATGCCGTTCAGACAGATAACGAATTGATTCTTGAAGATAAGCAGAGAAAATGTGGCTCCTGCTGTTCAGGTTTGGGCTTCTACTGGTTACATTTAAACTCATGACCATCTTTATAAAAAGCCATCAAGAAACGAATTTGCAGCTTCCGCAGCATTTTGATTCTTAACAGAAATAATTTTTTTAAAAGACTAGCAAATACCTGGCCCCCGAATTCAGAGAGAATATCTTGTCATCTCAACATTGTACTAAACTGGGCTGTGCTTGCAAACCCGCTTCAGAATAAAATGTTATTAACTCTAAGGAAACTAGCCAGCCCCACTGTGGAGGTCACAGGAAATTATCCAGTAATGGGGGTAACCTGGAGTGGCCATGGCGCTTGGAAACTTGGGAATAGTGACTTCCCCCAACCTGCCTCTACCATGATGGGACCCTTTCCTCCAGACATAAACTTGCCACTTCTCAACAGCTCCTTTAGGCCAGGGAAGGCCAGTCACATTCAGAGTTGTGGGTGGGAGAATCAGGAACCTGCAACTCAAGCTCAGAGCTGCTCTTTGCAGGGGGCCAGAGGCACTATCAGGTAAAGCAAGCTCTCAGCTTACTTTTGGGGAGTTCCCATAGTGCTGCTGGAGCTGAAGGGGCTGAGAAAACAAGAAATTTACAACCGAAGGAGGAGGAGGAAGTCATGTTGCAAAGAGGGTGGGAAGGAAAGAGGGGGAGGGGGAGAGAGAGGTGGTTTTGGGTATGTCTATGCAACAAAACAAAAAAAACCTGCAGCAGTTGACCTGGGCTCTGAGAGACTCTCTGCCACTCCCCCCTCTCCCTCCTCCCATGTAGACATACCCAGCATGGACAAGTGTCCTAAGGGTTAAGTCAAAATTAGAGTTCAGTATAGTTTAAAGCAAACACAATGCAGTGACTTGTCGATTTCCTAGAGTTCCTGGAATTCTCCTCACTACCCCCCAACAGCAACAGGCCAGGGGAAGCATGGAACTGCTCACACCCTTAAAAAAAAAAAAAAAAACCACAGCTCCAAAGAAAAATGAAACAAAAACCAAAAAAAACCCCCCCAAAAAAAAAAAAAAAAAAAAAAAAAAAAAACCCAAAGCCATGTGGTCTAGGATAATACTGTGCAGGATATAAATATTTTGTTAAGCAAATACTACAAAAAACACTGGATCTATTTTAATACTACTGTAATTTTTACTGATAAAACTACAGATAATAGAACTTGGCACACTTTAATCTGGCTCAGTTCTACATTTGGCCATTGCTACTGAAGAAAATTTGGAATACACCTCTTGGGCAGTAGAATAAATCTTGTAGCTTTCATTTCAAACCACTTCAGAATTTGATATGCGAGCTACAGACATGTATCATTCAAACACCAGTGAAATGCAGCATTTCTAACAATTTAGGAAGGAAGTAAACAGTATATCCGATTGAAACTGCATGGAAGATTTAAGTATATCAGTTACGTAGACCCAAGCTGAAATTTGGCCAGGATACCAGGCGTTAATGCCCCCACTCTTACACAGACCACCAGTGACCCTTTAATAACCATAAATTCTCACAATCTCAGTTTTACATCATTATCACAGACCATACCTCCAGCAACTTAGTTTCCTTTATACCAGGTTGAGACATTGTTGTAGAATTGTCAGATCACCACCTACTGAATCACGAACCCCACTTCTTTGTATCAAATCTTCTATTCAAATTCTACTAGACCTAATCTTACTTCACTTGTAAGATCAAATGAGATGACATCCTGATGTGGTGTGAGTGTAGGTCACACTAATCCCTGTAATGGCCAGAATACCTTTTAAGTGTAGGACTCATTTCAGGCTGCAGTGAGTGTAAAATCTCAAAGTCAACATTTTTACTAGTAGCATTATTTAAATGTCTATAGAAGCCTACACATTTACGATTGCTACCATCCAATAAAATAAACGTGCATATTACTGCATACTCTTGAGAACAGCTGGCATTTCTGTATACTTTTCATCCATGGATACTAAAGTACTGAGCAAATTTTAAATCTGTCATATATAAATAACACATAAATGTGCTTGGCACTTTAATATCTATGGATGGAAAGTCTATATCTGAATTAAGCATCACAACCCCGCCCCCCTTAAATATTAGCCCCATTTTACAGATAGGGAAACTGAAGCACGGAAAAGATAAGTTTATTGGAAAGCTGGGAACAGAACACATTCCTGACTCCCAATGCCATATACTTCCCAAAAGTACGGGCAGTTTATTTAGCGTGTGCATAGTCGTCTAGCCAAGCGATGGCATCCTCAGTGGCATGACGCAGGTCCTCTAGGCCGCTGAACTTAGTCGGCAGGCATTCCTCGACAACGTGCGTCATCATCTGCGTTGCGCCGCAGCTGCACAAAGGGCTGTCACAAAGGCCCCAGCGATACTGGTTGGCTGCACAGAGACCTTGCCCGGTCCGGAACCTGTTCAACAGGGACCATTGGCAACGGGGCAGGTCAAACCCAAGCAGGCAGATTGTGGGGTCGGCAACGAGGGACTGGCTAGGGATTATAACAGATCCATTCCTCTCGCCAGAGTGTTTCCACCCTAACATCCTGGCGTGATGGATGAGACCAGAATGGGCGACGTGACAGCAAACATGCAGCTGATGGTTTAAGAAGGTCAAGGCTTGAGTTGGCACATATTTTCTCCGGTAACTTGCCAGCGACAACCTCTCGTCTGATATGAGGAGGAGCGATATTGCTCAGAACTGGAAGCCAAGGGAATGGAGTCGGATGCAGGGTACCGGAGATGATGTGCACGGCGGCATGTAACTGCGTATCCACCAGTTTGGTGTGTGACAATTGACTCCAAACTGGTGTGCAGTACTCCACCACCGAATACGAGGT